TGACCTAACTTTTTGATGTACACATAAACTTTACATGGCACTACATGAAGTAGTACAATTTATCATTTACGCATGCTGTGTAATTTCATGCGTATAGATTACTTTCCAAGGCATTCTCTGCTCTTGCATTTAAAAAAGAAACAGAAAACCCTAAATTTTATTGTTAACAAATTCTTTTAAGAGATAATGACAAGTTTAGTATCGCTCAAAACCTCACTCTATAATTGGCTTAGCTCTTCAAGCGGGCCACTTCTCGACCTTCGTCCTCTACATATTTACTTTGGCTGTAGAATTATCCCATCAACTTGTATTCCCTTTTGCGATTTGAAGAATCATCAATTCGAACTTCCTCCAAAATCCTTACCTCTTGCTGTATTGGAACCACATAATAATGAAGGTATAGCTCAAAAATTACTTAAGGACCAAGGATGGAACGTTCGTTGGGTGTTTACTGAAAGCGAAAAATTATGGCAAATCGGACGAGAACTCGGAATCATCGAAGAGATTGACATAAATTCAAATGATAACGTTATGAATTTGTCGGATCTTTACTCTAAAAGACAACGATGGACATTGTTTCAACCTTGCCCCTTTTTAAAAAGCAACTTGAATTTCATAGAAGAATCTCTCAAAAATGTGCACCAACCAAATACGACTTTCAATTGTTTAGATCTCGCCTGCGGAAGCGGGCGAGATGTTTCCTGGCTTTGCCTACGCCGATCCGTCGATTGGCACGTCACTGCAATCGATGCTATGACGAGCGCTCTCGATCGAACAAGGCAGCTGGCACAGGGTGTGGGTGCCTTGTCCAGGGTTCAAACCGTACATGTAAAGATCATGTCGGATGGATCGGTTAAGCAACCTCCGATCAGAGTTGGAGATATCAAAAATGGTAAACCAAATTTATACGATAACGTTGATTTTCTTTGCAAAACTTACGATCTTGTCCTCTGTATCCGCTTTTTGCGTCGAAAATTTTTTGACACCATGGCTAAGATGGTAAAACCTGGTGGGTTTCTTTTGATCAGCACATTTGTAAATGATGGTGTGCATTCATACAAACATCCTAAAGGTGATGCACATCGATTAAAACTTGGTGAGCTTGATGAATTTTTTCAAGAACAATTCGAGGTATTGCAAAATAAAATAGAGCTTATAGAAGATGGGAGACCAGTGAATTCGTTTTTAGCCAGAAAGCGAACAGGTTTACCGGAAAAACGGCATGTGAACAACAAATAAACAGACGTACGTACGTACATAAATATAGTGACGATTCCGATTCATTATATATTATATCAGATATATAAATTTGTAATAAATATATTATTGAAGCCTCCCATTTTGATTACATGAATGACAACATGAATGCACGGTTTTTTCCGTGCAGTACATCAAGCCCAAATAGTTATCAATGTTACCCTATTTGTTTCCGTATTCTTTAAAAGGACATTTAACAATGAATTTGTCAGTAGAACTATTTTTAAGCTCTTACGTTAGAATTAGAACGCGATACAATACAATGGATTTGCGTTATTTTACATGCTATGGAGGAGAATAAATGACATCGTCTTTTAAAATGTGTCAAAAGTTTTGACATGGTGATGATACACAGTGATAATGCATTGCCATGTTTACTGCAGAACACAAAAGATCGGGTATAGATAATACTGCGGATTACATAATTTCGTTTATCCGATATGGACTGCAATACGTTACAATTTAATTAATTAATTAATTATTTACTTCTAGTCTAATCTATAGTATCACGCGCTCTCGCATTTTCACATTTGACGTGCTTAACCACGTGATAATATACGCCATTTTTTTACCATTTACGGATTTTATACAGGACGAACATCAGTCATACAGCATATTATAACGAACCTATGAGCCGCCTATTGGTATATCAGTGTATGTTACAAAGCTTTGTCAAAACTCGATCCCAACGTCAATCACAAATAAAAAAAAAACCACTAAACAATACAACTCCCGTATTAGTTATTACTTATATTTACACCCTAAATCAAATAATAATTCATTTAAATAAAATTCATATGTATGTAACACAAACCTTATGAAAACCTATTTCAATAAAAAGGTTTGTAAGGAAAAAGTTTAATCATTTCATCCTCAAGCTACTATTGTAATGGTTAAATCTTCTCTTCAGGATCATTTATTTGCTTCCGTAGACCCTTTACTAAATTGCTGGTGTAGTAAAAATTGGGTGAGATTGAAAAATCATAACATGCAAAATTTTAGCTGCGATTTACTTACTATGATCATGGGTTTATTATGTAGTATGTAACCGTGCAATTCATTTAGAGCTTGTGTTGCTATTTCTAGACTAGGGAGCTTTATGAATGCCTGCCCTCTCATTCGTCCTTTCAACAATTGAATCTCCAGTTGACTAAAAAGTTCATGTACATATTAAAACATTTATTTAAAAAAAATATAAAGGGCAACGTTTATTTACAATACCTTTCCATTTCTGATCGTGATTGAAAATATCTACCAAAAAGATATTCCAAATCTTTATCATCAATTTTTCTCTGAGATAAATTTTTTATATAGAGAGTATTTGTGGGATTTCCGGACGAATAATTTTTCATGGCTGGTATCTTTTGTAATTCTGGAAAGAAAAGAAGACGCATGATTCATGAATTTTAAAATGACTTTAAACATAGCGGGTAAAATTACCTTCAATTGGCATTTTGTTGGCATTAATATCTTCAATTGAGATACAGTTATGTGCTTGCAGTTGACTAGTTTCTAAGTTAAATGTCGAATCCGCAGCCGGTGATGTTGAATCTAAATCCATTCCATAACTTGTGGACGTAGTTGAGGCAGAGGATCTGTTTAATGGTGGTAGTACTTGTGAAGACTTATCACCATAAGAATATGTAAGATGTCGCGATGAAGTTGTGGCAGAAGTTATAGGGATAATTGGTGTCCCAGTGGATAACGGATTTGCATATGGATTATCGGTAGTGGTAATCGATGGTACTAATTGAATTGTATTAAATACATTGGCTGTCGACTTAGTCTTCTTTTTTAGTCTCATGTCTTTCTGTTCTTCATCCTCGCTATCAATTTCTGACTCATCATCTGACAATAATTCGTCTCTCTTTTTACGTTTCTTACTACTATCATCAGCATTTTGCAAATCAGACAAATGTTGTTGGAGCTAAAGTCAAACGTGATTTGCCATATATAATTAACAAATAGGGAATAACATTATTATTTGCAAAAATGCAATTAGCTTACTAGAGGCGGTACAGATTCGGGAACCACTGGTTTAAATGGTGGTGGTAAATTCATTTTATTCATTAAATGTAATACTTGTGTATACAATTTTGGTACTGCAGCTATTGCGTTCATAATGTTATAAAGGATTTCAACTGTTGGTGGTGGATAACGATAATGAAGTGTTGGGGCAGGTGGATAATTAAATCTGAATAATTCATGAATTGTTTTCAGATAAAACTACACATCAAAGCTTGAAAGGAGCTTCAAATCTTTGAAATAATCAATTTTCAAGAATAACAGAAAGGTTAAAACTCACCCAAGTGAAGGAGCAATAGGTTCTGCATGAGATCCAGGTATTGGTGGAACAGGTGGCGGCGGTGGTAATTGAGGTACCGCTACATCGTTTTGCCTAATATCACTAGAACTATTTGCTGCATCGCCGCTAGCTTTCTTTTTTAAGGCCTCCTTGCTAGGTGATGCATATTCTACACGAATCTTTTTGCCTCCAATATCCTCTAATTCTTGAAATCTAGAATATGCAGTCGAAGCTAGTGCCCGATCTGGAAAATCCAAAAAAGCCGAGTTTTTCTAAGACAAGAGAAGGGAATTTATTTAAACGCGTTATTTGTTTTTACAAGCCTAAAAAGTTAAATGATATACCAAATGTTGAGTTCTTCCAAGACGAATATCTTGTGGCCCAAAGTGTTTCAGGAATTCGAGCAAATCAGATTCTGGTAAATTTGGTAAATTTTTTACAATCAAAGTTGTAGTTTCCTAATTTAAACAATATTACTTAGTATACGTTCAAATGCGCTAAACATAACATAAACTTTATTACCTGCGCGAGGAATTGGATATCTTTTTTATGAACTGAAAGAGAAGGAGGCGGGTTCATTTTGAAGGTTGAAATCACTAGTATCTGGTATCTGGTATTGTACTGTACGTACATCAGTCGATCGATATCAGTCGGTCGAGATGTCACGCAGATCACGGGGTAAATTTTTTAATATGAAAATCACTTTTTATCAACGGTGTTTCACTGGTTTTAGGGGTTTTATAAAAGGAAATTGCACTCACGAGATATAGTGCAACAGCTTAGAAAGTTAAACACTATATCATAAATAAGTTTAAAGCGAAATAGGAAATAAAACCCAAAAGAATCTTCCCCTCAAAGATGGCCTTTTATCTCATTTTTTATAGTACTAGCAGCATAATAAAGCTTGATATTTTACTGATTTCTATAAGCTTTGCTTTGATTTTAAAGTTTTTTTTAACAAAAAAATGAAGTACTTAAAATCTCATTTGCAATTTTGTAGTATTTACTATAAAGAACAAGCTAGCTGTATTTGGTTAAAAGATTTTAAAATGAAACTATTACTATTAAGATTACTTGTACTATGTGAAATTATAATTAATAATATTAGAAAATAGTTATGAGCCAAAGAATAGTTTATATATGT